CCGCGGGCGCCCTTCGGCCTCCCGCCCCGCCGTCAGCGCTCGGCGGGCTCCCGGCCCCTGGCGGCCTGGAGCTCCGCCCCCGTGGTGTGGCATCGCGTTGGGTCTCTGCTTTCTCACGTAGCGTAACGGGGGCGTGAGTAGGCGCGGGAAGCTCGGCGGAAGGCAGAGGCGCCCTGCTTCGTGTCTGGGGGCGTTTGGGGGCCATCGCGATGCTGAAGCAACCCCCTGAGTGCACCTGAATGCAGTGCTTGGAGGAGCGGCGCAGGGTCCTCCCAGCCCTCTCCGCTAGACCCGCTGGGGCAGCCTCCCTCCCCATCTCACCTGGTGCATAGCAGACAGCAGAAAGGGTAAAACTAGGCTGTGGGGAAGTTGTTCTCGGCGGGGCCTATCTACTGGTGTGTAACAGCCCAACTTAGGCGTAGAGCCGCCCCAGCCCTGTGGGTTGGAATTGAAACATACATCGATTACCTTGCATTTTTGCTTTTAGTAGCGAGTAATTTTGCTCTTGGGAATTGTGTGATGTGGGGAATGTGAAAGTTAAAATACAAGCTAGGGCTAAGAATGCAAAAAGGTGGGAAAATAATTCTTAATTTAAGCTTAAATCTGCAGGAGTTATGGCTGGGTTGGAATAGGAGGAACCACTTACTGCCCAGCGGGTCGCTGTGATTTTGGTGAAGGCTGATTTGCATTATTAGTGGGTCTGTTGGTATTCCCCTGCTTCCCGCACCGCTGCAGACTGCCACAGTGCGCAGCTTTCCTGCTCTGGATCCCCAGCAGTGAGTTTAGCCTGTAGGAACTTCATGTAAGTACTTTTTGCAGTTCCGTGCTCCAGTACTTCCTCCCACCACCGTGGTATCTCTGTTTTGCTGATCATGCAGAGATCTGAATTTTCCCATGCGCGGTATCTAGCTGCCTGCTCCCTCTGAATACACCTAGAGAGCTGGAAGATTTCCACGGTGGTGTGCCAGAGCTCTTTGCTCTCCCTTGCTCAAAAGAAAAGGGTTGTTGAGATGTTGAGCTGCTCTAAAACCCCCCTCAGAATGGGGGACGTTATTTGGTCTAACAACTAACTTCCTTTCAAAGGAAGGAGTATGGTTTGCTTGCTTGACACAGCAGCCTTCTCTTCAGCTAGAGCCAAGCACGGCGTTGTACTGAATTCAGTAATGGCACATGCGCAGACCGGGTAGAAACCTAGAAAGATGACTGTTACTCTCGACACAAGGAATGGTTTGTTACAGGATCTTGACACAGGCAGAAAGAAAAGAAAAAATCCCTTGTGTTGTGAAAATAACTTACATTCATGCCATCAGAAATGTAAGAGGCTTCCTTGTGCGTTGATTTTGGCATTTAAAGGACAATTTATGTTGGAAGGGACCTCTGAAGTTTCTCCAGTCAAATCCCCGCTTAAAGCAGGGCTAATTTTGAAGATGGGTTGGGATGCTGTATTTGGTAATCCTTAATGGTAATTAAAATCTCATGAAGTCTTGATGAGCATGTTACCCACATCATTGTGAATTGTAAATTTTCTTTATAGGAGTTAGACTACAAAGATATTTGTAATCATATGACTCATTTCTGGGGGGAATGTCTCATAAAAAATAATCAGCTCAACTTACGTTTGGGATATGCAGGTTGTGACAAAGCTCCGAAAGATTTGTTCTAGGCTCGATATGGAATGTCTTGGGGAAGCTGGGAGTGGGGGAGAAGGGAAGAAAGAATAAGCAATGGTCAAAGCCATTTTATGCGAGGTGAGAGTGCCTGTGAGTGTGTCCACTTCTGCTCAGCTGTCTTCTTAGGAAAAGTATGTAAGTAAATCTGTGCGGTACCCTGAGCTTACATGACAACTTGGAAACACATACTTTTCCTTTCTTTTTTTTTTTTTTTTTGATACAGCTGGGATGGGTCCTGTTTACACTGCTGAAATAAATATTTAAGGATCGCTGTCCTTTTAATGACAATTTTTGCTCTGCTTGTGGGTGGAAGGGAAATGAGACATCTAGACAACCATGTTTTAACTAACTGGTATTCTTGACACAAAGTGAAGACCATCAACTGGCACTTACAACAGGATTAAGACTAAGCTTGTTTAAAGTCTGGTTAGCTGAGTACTGACAGAGCATAAAAAACCTCACTGTTATCTTGGAGATCTCTTGTGGTCACCACAAAACCACACAAAAAGATGTATTTCCTTTTTCCTTTGCCTGCTGCCTTCTGCAAAGAGAAGTGCTCATTCCCTTCTGGAAGTTTTAGCAGAGTTGAGAGCTTGCAGATCTGACAGTTCCAGAGAAGACGATGCTCTTTAGCGAAGGGATGTTGCCACCAAAGCAGGTAGCCTAGCGTAGAAACGCTGGGTTGATTCACCAGTACAGCCTCTGTCATGAAGCTTTTTTTTAATATTGTCCATTGTGACGGCTTTTTAATTGTTTCCAGGGTTGCTTGGATTGTTGGTGTGCAGGGGGCCAGGGGATGGGGTTAGAAGTAGAATAGGCTGAAACATAGGGAAAATATTACTAGGGGAAATGCACAGTTCTACAGAAAAGCACAGCTTAGCACGCAGATCTTAAAGTTTAGTGCCTGTGTTCGCAGTTTCAGAAAAGCTTTCTGTAATTCCTGTTCCCTGTACCCACCCACCCCATAAAGAGGGTAACGATGTGTACAGTTTAAAAAAAAAATGCTGAATGATTAAGATATCTTTAAAACAATCTTGCTGTGGATTGGACAGCTGTTCTTTCGTAACTGCCGCAGGGTGACCGTGGTACGGATTGCTCAAAGACGCTGAGAGCCGGGTCCTGGCTGCAAGGCAAAGGCTCCAGAGCTGGGCTCCTGCCTAGTCCTGCCCACTCGCCACCCCTGGCAGCGCAGTTTGTCTTCTCCCCTGCCTGCACTCGCATTCGGGGGAGCTGGTGGTGGCTGATGCTCATGCAGGCTGCATGGGTTCTGGTGAGTGCGTGCGCCTAAACGTTAAAGGCTTACGGGATGCTCTGTCGTGTCTGTCTTCTCCTTGTGGATTATGGTTTACGGGATGCTTTGTTGTATCTTCCCATTGTGGATTTTCCTCTGGTGTTTAAAAGCTCATAGAGTTTGATCTCAAGGCAGTAGCATTTGTATTTTAAGGTGGGGTGGAGGGTTGTGAAGTTAATTTAAGCTTCAGATTTCCTTAACAAACAGCAGTTAAACAGAAATGAAACTGCTAGTTCCAAACGCTCAGCTGTTTTCCTTTAGTCTGTTCACTGGGGGCTCAGCATTATAGATGTGGCAGGGCTCAGCCTGTCTTGTTTGCAAATGTTTTAATAATCCTCACTGCTGTTTCCCATATGTATTTTTCAAAGAGGCTTGCTATGGTGTTGGCTTAGCAGGGGAGGAATTTCAGAATCACCACACAGAGCTGCTTCTTCCATTACCCTATTTATTTAAATAGCAAAAGATCCTCGTATTTGAATAAAACCTTTTTTGTCACTGAGTGGAGACCAAAGAGCCCAATTAAACTAAGAGGTGTGTTGACTAAGCTTAATGATCTCCTCTCTATCCAACTGAGTGAAGGTGGCTTTTAGTGATGCTAATAATGCTAACAATAATTATAATGCTTATGAAAATAAAAAGCTATGTGAGAACTACTCATTAATCAGTTGCCACAAATTTGGCAATATTTTTGTACACAAATGACATGCAGAAACCATTAATACTTGGTTTTTACCACCCCCCACCCCCCCATCATAACCAAGAATTAAGACAGTTCTTGACCAGACAAGATTCGCATCCAAGCAATAGCTGGATAATCAAACGCTAGGGGGGAGCAGGGCTGTAGCCTTCTGGGTATGCCACTGAGATTTTAAGTCTTAACACAAGGATATTGCTGCATCACAGCAATACATTTTGAGTTACATTTTGGTCATTCCAGAGGCTGGGGTCAGGATGGTCTCTGATGCGAGTATGATTTTTTAGTCAGAGGCAGATATCAAAAAATTGTCGTTACAGGATGACTTTACGTTTGAAAAAAAGTATGTAGAGAAAGCAGATAATGGTCAAGGAAGGTTTCCCTTGGTTAGAAATAAGTGGTGAAATGGGGTAGAATCTGTTCTTTTTTCTGCATTATGTTTGTGTCAACTGGCCTTGTTTCTTCCTTGGGTTTGTGGATAACTCGCGTTCCTTGAGGCTGCGATACTGTCTTCCTTGGAACCAAGTATACTGATAAAAGAACAAAGCGATCTTTTTTCCAAAATGTTTTGTAGCTATTTCTGCAGGTAGGCAGCTGGTTGTGTTTGTCTGTAGTATTTAGGAGCTAGTTTGAAGGATGGAAAGGGATTTTCTCCCAGAAAATTCTGGGTGCTGTGGCTCTGACGCAGAAGTGAGGAGCTACTCCTAGTTCTTACTTTCTGAATTCTGGCAACAGCTAACAGTGGGGATAAAGATTATGTGTGTGTCTGGTTTATTGCCAGTCACAGTTCAAACCAGTAATATTTTTTTTTTTATATTGATGAGGGGAAAACCCTTCTCCCATACAAAAGTATATACAGACAGCAATATTTACCAAAACAATCTATCAGGGAATAGGGTTTTGCAGATGGCTCTGGAAAAAATTTGACTCTCCATGTTGTGTAATACTCAAGTCGGGTGACTGCAGATCTACAGCCCTTTGTAACACATAACTGATGTGATGTAGGCGTCCAGTTCTCATACTGCCAAAGCTCCGATGACACTTGTACCAGTTATTGCTCAGAGCTCCATGAGGCAGGGCCAAGTGTGCTTTCCTGCATCCTCGTCACTGATCCTGCCGCACTGGAAGATGGCTGTCAGCCCTCTCCAGGCTTGTGAAACATGTGCAAGGGTCAGGCTTGGGGTGTGTGTGTGTGTGTGTGTGTGTGTGTGTGTATGGATGATGGTTAAATAAAATTGCTACCGAACTAGAGTCACCAGTAAGAACAAGCAGTGTTTGTACTTTAAGATTCGAGCAAGCGTATGTAATGGCTTCCCTTGCAATGTTATCAGTTCTACCTGGTGGGTGTGAGTTTAAGTTGTTTGTTCCTGATGTTGTTTCTGCTTTAGCAAGAGTGGAAATTCGTTAGCATATAGAAGGTGCTATTCAGGGCATGTTTGTAATGTTGGTTCACTGCGTCTAATAAAATGGTTGCAAGTCTACATATTTCTGTCTGTGGGCATGACTGGTAAGCCCTAACTTTGGCTTGGTGCCTGCTTTGGTTCTAATAGAACTGCCAGGAACAGGAAGGTTACCAGTTATGGTGAACCAGATATAGAGGGGTTTTTTTAAAGTCTTCTGTGGTATATTTGTAAAATTCACTGTTTAGTATAGATTATGGGGGCTGGGGGGTATGCATTTAATATACAAATGCTTCTTTTTGAAAGAAACCACTGTCTTACTGTAATAATTAAAGTTACTGGCTAACATAGAGGTCATCTTGCTAGAGGCTCTTTATTACACGTGTATACTTCAGTCATCTTTCTCCCCACTGCATCTGAGCACTTTAACCATCAATGTTTTTGTCAGTCGGGTAGCAGGAAAAGGTAAGAATATCTTGTTAATAGTTTTGTTGCAGGTCAGGCGCAGAACGGGAATGTAATCTAGATCTGCTAAAAGCCCATTCAGTACCTTAACAAAAACACAGATCAGCTCCAGTCAAACCAAAAACATCCGTGTGAGCTTTTAGCTGTTGTTTTAATCCAGTTCCTCCTTGTCCAGGATCATCGATGTCCAGTATTAGAGCTGCTTTCTTCTTTCTCTTTCCAGAAATGTCCTTCCTGCCCGACTTTGGGATCTTCACCATGGGCATGTGGTCTATTGGTCTTGGAGCCATTGGTGCAGCTGTGACGGGGATTGTCCTTGCTAACACTGACTTATTTTTGTCCAAGCCAGAAAAGGCTACGCTAGAGTTTTTAGAGGAGATAGAGCTAAAAACTTTGGGATCAGGTAAGATTCTGGATGTTTCAGCCCACATTCTTCAATAATTGGGCTTTTATAAGAACCTTTGTAAGGCCAGGGTTGGAAGAGTTCTTCTTAGTCTTTCCCAGTTATCACACAGTCAAGTGTCCTTGATAGCAGATAATTGTGGTGAAGGAAAAGCAAGCATAACTGATACTTCTGGATGAAACATGACACGCTTCTAAAAATGAATAAAGCAATAAAACCTTGTTGCACATATAGAATTTTTTTCTGATAGAACTGTATTTGAACATGGAATTCGCTTCAGTGCTTTGTGTTGGTCCTTAAAGCATTAATCATTATAAACAAGAGTGGCTGATATTATTGTTGATGCTGTTTCTCCTGTATAAACAGAACAAAGAACATTCAAAGCGGGTGAACTATGGAAGAAGAATGGTGCAGTGATCATGGCTGTGCGAAGACCTGGATGATTTTTGTGCAGAGAGGTACTTGCTGGGCTTGGGGATTAATTAGAAAGAGTTGAGCTGTACGTGCATAGATTCCCTTTAAATAAAGGGAGGGGGTAAATAGGACAGTCATCAGATACATCTGAAGTACCTGAAAGGTCTTGTTTCTTAGCCCAAACTGGTTGCCGGCTAACAACATGCTTAGTTTTCTTCACAGCTGGTTCGTATAGTCAAGGTCCTGAGCATTTTCCTTCTGAAGGTGATGGACACATGATTTTTACATCTGCCAGGGATCTAGCCTGTGGTAATTAGAAAGGGAGATTGCACAAAATCCAATTGGTAATGAGTCTTGAGCTAGTTGTATTCCATATGTTCAAAATAAATCTCTGTGAGCCAGGTAGTCTCTGGTCAAAAGCAGCCCAAGACTGGACTGGCAGAAAGTCAGCAGATAAAGCTCATCAGCAAAATAAGAGATGTGCATAAAGGGGAGTCCCTCGCTGTTCTGGATGCTGAATGTGAGACAGGAAAGTAAGCAGTCTGAAGACAAGGAGTTACTGTTCCGTAACAAGGTGGGTTGGGAAACAAAATTTGATCCTTAAGTTGGCATTATGTTTCTTGGATGGAGGTGGGGGAAGACACTTAAAATACAATTTGAATGCACCATGTGCCTGGGAACAGCCATAACTTGCACCTTGGCCATTATTTTTCTCATAGCTATGGGGAAAAATAGCTATTATGTTGTTGCTCACTCCTCTGTAATGTGGAGCAATTAATATTGCAACCACTTAATTAAGGGATCTGCTCCCATCAGTAGTAACCGCTTAAGTATGTGTAGAATTCATGGAAGGTTAAAGATTAAAGTACTTTGCCCTCTGAACAGGTGTAGCGTAGGCAGGAGGAGTACGCGCTACGTGCCTGACTCTCTGCCTTTCGCATACAGTCAGACAGGAATTCATTAATGATTTCTTTCCTTTTTTAATGCTAACTTCCTAAGTAGAAATAAAGAGCCCAATTCAAAGAATTGTAGGGGATTTTTTTTCTTTCAGAAAAAAATTAAGTAGGAGAGCAAAATTTAATTTTCTAATTCTTATTTTTGATTCAAAACTTCAAATTTTTAACAGACGCAGTCACACTACAGCTCAACTAATTAGGGCAAAGAATTGTTTTGTATTTTAACTGCAGAAGTGTTTGAAAAAGCTTTTAAATTGTCTGAACTGAAGTGATTTTTGATTGTTGTATACTCAAAGCATTTTTGTGAGTTGACTCTTGCCTTTCTCCTAAGAACAGTTCAGTTGCCCTTTTTTTTTGTCCATTAATGTTTCTCCATCATCAGATTCCTTTTTTGTTATTTAAGATAGACTATGTTTAATGGGACTACGCTTCTACATCTCGTGGTCTGGATCCAGCCATGTAGTGATCCAGTGCTCCGGTCACTGTGACAGTGCCACGAGCTTGTAAATACTGTAGGTATCAACTCAAGCGGTCTGAAGTAGCAGAAGAGCCATAGTTGAACTTCCAGAGGGACAAACTGAAATGGGAATTGTTCTTTCGGGTTGTCGCTGCCTTGGTGGAAAGAGAAAGTATTCTGCTAGGGTGTGCAGGTCTGCTTTTTACAAAAACAAGAAAACAGTTTCACAGACTCAATGAAATGGTCACAGCCCCATGGCTATATGGCTGTTACGTGCTACAATTTGCCCACAAAAATAGACTTCTTTGCTTTCTCTTACTTTATCATTTTAAACGGCAGTAAAGAAAAAACAAGTCAGGTCTAGTCCCAAGATGCTGCTTGAAGTCTAATCTCTTGAAGAATTTTAAAACTTAACTATGCTCTTACATTATTCCTGCTCGTTCCCCTCCCAAAAGGCAAGCAAGGAGATACAAAATAAACCACACCAAACTGCTGAAGTGCCTTTCTCCAAAAGGCTAATCAAGGTTTGATGGTATCACCGTCTCTCTAGACAGCAATTTCTGGTCTTAGAGGGGACCCCACTGCCCTAGCCTGGAACATCTGTTCTTGGACGTGTTAGGTCACAATACAATTTTTTTTTGTTTTGTTGATTATGAAAGTTTTGAGCTATATAAAAAAAAAATCCCAGATAAAATTGCTATTAACCCCCCTTTTAGGAAGATCATAAGGTATTTTGTTGAAGGAAAACAGAAAATAATTACCAGATCTTTAAGAACAGAAAAGTGAGGAAAAATCTAGTAAGTGTGATCTATCATTCTTTAACTCCCACGCTTACTACTCAGAGTTTGGTTGTGATGCTGATTCATCCTTTTTCATTTCCTCTGAAAAGACAGGGATCAGTGAACTGGAAAGCTGCCCATCATCTACCGATGTCTTTCTCTAATGTCTTTTCCCCTGTCTGTTCACCCCTGTCTGTCTGCTACGTGATACTCGGTAAATTCTAGATATCCCACAAGCCTTTGAGTTAAGGCATTTCGGGTAGGCGGCTGAGGCTGTTCACGTAAACTGTGTCCATTTTTCACAGTGTGGAGTTCTTTGTGGGAGTTTTGTCCAGCAAAAATGACCTTTCTCCACTAGAGATGAGAAGAAACATGTTTGCAGTGTGCACTCTGATCTGTTGGAAACCTTGGAGGCCTTGGGACAGGCTGTGGAAGCCGAGACTCCTTCAGCAGAACAAAAAACCCAGCAGATGAGTGGTGACACCTTACACTGACACACCAGAAAAAGCAGTATTGCTTCAGGAATACTGAACGCGTATGAAGAAATTCCCTGATTGTTTTCCCTGGTTAAGTGATGTGCAGGCACTATCTTTTTGCTGTTCTCTAAACACTTCAAAAGAAGCCCTAACACATGCAAAGTATATCTACAGCTTTGAGTTAAAAGTGTGTTTTCTCCAGGATTTTAATATTTTATCCAGTGAATGCTCAAAAAATCTCCTTCCTCGGTGCTTAATGAAGGAATTTTTTGTAAATCTAATGAAGACCTGCCTATGAGCAGAACTAGCTTAAACGTCTGATTTACAGGTCTGTTTCTGTTTTGTGTCTCAAGCTAGAATTTATGTATGTTTCTCATGCTCTTGAAATTCAAGGCGAAACTCTCCAACCTCCGTCTACTGTCTGAAATGTTTGGGGTTTTCTCCTTTCTTAGGAGGCTTCTGAGCTCTCCTCTCTGAAACCTCAGCTGTCCAAGATGGATGTCCCTCTCTATGCTGTTGTGAAAGAGAAGATAGGGACTGAGGTGGAGGATTTTCAGCATTATTTCAAAGGAGAAATCTTTCTGGATGAAAAGGTATAGTGAAGTCGGTGTTCTCCTTTTGTTTAAAAACAAGCTTATGAATATCCTCTTTGAAGAGCTTGTATAAATAATATAGTCAGAATGTGGTCTGAATGAAAAAGGATTTAGTAGCATTGTAGTTTAAGAAGTTAATTAGCTTTGCTTTTCTATATATATATATCCTGCTCAGCTTACAAACTGCTCTGAAGCTATGCACTGATAACATGCTGTTGCAGGATTATTCCTCCCCTCCCCATTAACAGGTAAACAATATGGCCTGTTGTCCTGGTTTCGGCTGGGTTAGAGCTGATTTTCTTCCTAGTAGCTGGCAGAGTGCTGCTGCGGTTTGGATTTAGTGTGAGAAGAATGTTGGTAACACCCTGATGGTTTAGTTGTTGCTGAGCAGGGCTTATACCAGGCAGGGGCTTTTCTGCTTCCCCTGCTCTGCCAGGGGCACAAGGAGCTGGGAGGGGGCACAGCCAGGACACAGCTGACCCCAACTGGCCCAAGGGCTGTTCCATACCATATGATGTCATGCCCAGTCTATAAACTGGGGGGTGTTGGCTGAAGGACAGCAGCGATTGCTGCTCGAGGATGGGCTGGCCATCGGTCAGTGGGTGGTGAGCAATTGCATTGTGCATCACTTGTATATTCTATTATTATTATTATTTATTTTCCTCTTCTGCTGTTGTACTAAACTGTCTTTATCTCAACCCACGTTTTTTTTTTTTCTGATTCTCTCCCTCATTCCACCAGTGGGGGGAGGCTGAGCGAGCGGCTGTGTGGTGCTTAGTTGCCAGCTGAGGTTAAACCACAACACCTGCTAATATTTATTCCTTTCTTCCACTGGCTGAGTGACTTGCTGATGTTTACGATGTGTGACTCGGGTCTGAAGGTGACAGACGCAATTCATTCGGGATGTACAGGACAAGTGGCAGTGATGTGGCTTGTCCCGGTACACTGGCACATGCTGTATTGCCAGTCTCATGTCCTACAAAACCATGGCCCTACTTACCCCTTAACCCAGAAGATGCATTTAAAAATCATTTGGCTTCTGAAGGGAAAAGAATATGTAATACTCAAAATCAACCAGAAAATACCTTTATTTTCCCTCCCTACACTGCTGTGTGAAAGAATCAGGCTGATTTAAAAAAAAAAAAAAGCCAACCCAAAACCCAAACAAACCCAAAACAAAAAACAGACAGCTGATAAAGTTTCAGGACTTGGCACCACTGTTATCTTTTTACTGGCATTTTTATTGCCATACTTCAAAAATAAGAAAAAAGATGTTTTTTTTACCAAACCACCCTTGTTGTCAGCAATGGGGATGTAGATGTATGTGGGGCTTAAATGCCTGTGGATCAGCTTAAAATCCACATGAATGGTGGCAGTACCACTAGTTGGCTGAGTTGGAGGTCAGTGGTCAGGTAGTGCATTAAAGAGGTTAGTTCAGGTGCAGTTTCTTTTTAGCTCTGCCTGGTTAGCTTTCGTATGTTGCGACCTTTCTTGGATACAGGGTTGGCTGGTTTCCTGAATTTCATTTGGGAGAAAGTCCTTTTCACTGAGATTTTTTCTGTTTCCCTGCAGAAAGGCTTCTATGGTCCACGCAGACGAAAAATGATGATGTCGGGCTTCTTCCGCTTGGGAGTCTGGCAGAATTTCTTCCGTGCTTGGAAAAGTGGATATAGTGGTAACTTGGAAGGAGAAGGATTCACCCTGGGAGGAGTATATGTGATTGGGGCAGGAAGACAGGTACTGCAGGCCATGTAGGAGGCTTTTACGTCTCCTGTGAGACCAAAAGTTTCTTTTCTGGAACTGTTCAGTTGCTGGTCAGTTGATCTCCTGTGGGGAGGCTAGTGTATGAATTTCTCTTTTGTGTCTTTAACTAGGGTGTTTTACTGGAGCATCGTGAGAAAGAATTTGGAGACAAAGTCAGCCTCCCATCTGTCCTTGAAGCTGCTGAGAAGATAAAACCACAAGCTTCATAAGCAGAAAAATAGTTGCACGTGTTGCTGATCACAGCTTGAAATGTAGAATGCATCTGTGTCTTGAACGTGCAGTTTAATTGCTTCTTAACTATTTAGTGATCAACGCAGAGGAAAGATTCTCTATTCAGACATAGAAAATGATGAAAATCCTCCTGGATCTTTTTTTTGTTGCTTTGCAACCTTTCAGGTGGTCAGGTTTTCAACTGCTCTTTTGTGTCTGACTGTATTAATGAAAGGCTGGGTCTAAAATCTGACCTAGCCTAGATGTGTTCAGTCAGAGACAGTGGGCTTGAAAACCTGTCTACCTAGGGAAGCAAAACTCTGCAAAGGCTGGAGTAATGGAGTACCAGCTGAGGTTGAAGGATAATAAAACTTTATGTAAATGAAATGCCTTCGCTTTTGCTTTTTCATTTACATATGAACACCCTGGTGTTTCTAGAAGACTGTGTCCTGTCTGTCTAGATTATTCTGAGATTCTGCAGTCAAGACATGCCGCCATGTCTACCCAGTAAGTTTCTTGTTAACTTCTGGCTCTAGATCTTCCAGCTCTTTGTGTGATTCCCTGCAAGGAAGAGTGAAGACATCTAATGTTCACTTGAGAAGATAATTGTGGCGTGACAGCAAGTTCCTTCTTGTGTTTAAGATTCTCAAAAAAAAAAAAGGGAACAATACCAGAGAGCAGATTAGGTAGAGTTTCCATCCTGGCTTGAGTTCTGCGGTAGAATGGCTGAGCTGTTACTCCTAAAAATGTAGTGTTGCACAATAAGATCCGTGAGAGCCAGTACCATACCTAGCCAAATATATGTACCTAGACTGAAGTATGAACAGGACAGCATGAATTTTCCAAATGTGCTGACGTTTCAATGTCTAAACAAAATTTTAACATTGTGCTTGGAGAGGATTATCAAGTGTTGCATATCTTTCATTAGCTGGTGTATATAAAAGGATAGGTAACTTTGGAAGAATGTGCGGGCTAGAACATACAAAGCTAGCAGAAGAATTAAAAAGAAGGATTCTTTTGTCCTGGCAGTGGGTCAGCTTGAACTGTCATTCTGCTTTCTTCTGACTGTAAAAGTAATGAAACCTTCACGTGTCGTTGGTACTGAGGGCAGGGATAGTTTGCACCTCTGAAACTTTGGCAATATGCCTACTACTGCTCTGTGTACCAGTGCCTATCCCTCTGTATTGTTGATCTGTATGCAAAAAATGGTCATACATGATGCTGTGTGTATGAAACCTAAATGCCAAAACCTCTACAACTTCAGTGAGGCCTGGCTTTGGTCTGTGTTAAAGCAGTTATGCAGGCTTTAAAATCGCATCATTATGGATGAAATCCTGACTTTTTTTATATTTATGTCCAGGCAGAACTCATTTTAACTAAGAATATTTGTGTGCTCTTCAGAGTCTGTTCTTCGCAGTTGCCTGAAACAACACTAGCAGTGAGGATTTTGAGTGGTTCATGTGTTCACCAAGATGTTTCATTTGAAAACTAAATGGAAATTGGAGTCACGTATGCTACTATCAGCTGAAATTTGTGTTTGACTGTTCTAGGGGATGGAGGAAGGAACAGGAGTTGGGAGAGTAGAGCAGCAAAGCCTACAGCAAATTAACTACATGATACAGACTTTCTCTATAAAGGCTCTCCTAGGATTCGAGAGGTGCAGAGAACCATGACTTGTCTCTGTCCGTGTTCTGAGCTGCCTGGGTAAGTATGCCCCATAAGATGTTATCAAAAAGCTGTTGGATGCTCAAAGACATAAAATGACTGACTGGAGGTGGGCTCCTCTGAATGGCATCCAGAGCAGCCAGGCAGCTGCCAAGAGTTTGCTCCACAAAATAAAGAATTGTGGCCCGAGGGCTTTTTGTCCTGGCTTTTAGCACTGAAAGGAAGTACCTGTCTGGCAAGTGCTTGCCTGACACAAAGCACCTAAAACTCTTCCTCTACAAGCCTGCAAAGTTCAAAGCATCATGTAAGTGGCCACTTGTCTGCAGTAGGCATACTGTTATTTTGCAGTGCAAGTGGTAGGCAACACCAAAGAGATGCTAAAAGAAATGGGCGGGAGCTGCTGTTTCTTAGAGCTGCAAGATGCTCCTAGTAACAGAGATCAGTCTTTTAGAATAGGAGGCGAGTTCTGGATCCCGGCTCTATTGAGCTTTGAGTTTTCTTTCCAGTGGGAACTGGCAAGCTTTGCTGTTGGCGGAGGACAGATCTTGCGCAAAGAGACAGGCAAAGAAGGTACTGATCTTAGACCTGGATTTTAGGCCTTGTTCCAAGGGCTGTTTATGCATTTCACATAAACATGAAATGTGAAAGGCACAAACAGTCCTTGGAGAATGGAATGGCAGCCAGATAAATTCCGAGAAATTGAAGATAAATTGAAGTGCCTTTAGAACCTCCTAAATCTGGAGAACATCTACTTACAATTTTGTGTATGTGCAATTGAATTCCACCCACTCCGACAGAGCTGGCCCCCAGTTCTTTCAGTCAGACTGCAGAAAGTCCTGGATGATGACAAGGATGCCATGTGGCTGCAGCCCTGCTGTTGTTAGCCCACCAAAGGGACCGTGTTCGGTGATCTTGGAAGCAGAGGCAGGAAGCCATCATGTCCAGCATTTACAATGTTTAGCTGAAGTAGAATGGCTGTTAAACATACAAATCACTAATGCTGCAACGATGAAACTTTCCTTTAGTGTAGAAACATTTTTAGAAAGACCCATGAAATTCTTTTGAGGGTGTTTATTAAAATACTCATTTCAATAAGTTCTCTGCTCTGTCAGCTTCAGCAAAGGTGTATGTATGGGAACCATGTCAGACCTAGATCTGGGAGGGTGTGTTCTCCTACCTGTGACAGTGATAGTTTCTGTAAACAGCTTCCCGGACGGTTCCCGGACAGTGTGCTTGATTTGAAAGTTATGTAAGCTTGCCCACATTTCAGTTTTTTAACCCTGTCTTTTAGAGATCAAGTCAAAATTTGGAGCCACAAAAGGTACAAATGATACTTGAAAATTTTCTTAAGAACCAGTATTTGTAAATCTGTTTTTTTTTTTTTTTTTAAGACAACCTTGGGATTATTTGGAGTTGACTCATCCTTTCTGAACTCCATGTTGGCAAAATACAAATGGAGAGGATAGAAAGCACGCAGTACCTAGGAGCTAGGAGCAGTTAAAAGGAATTGGAAATGGGCAGTCTTGAAGAAATTAAAAAATGCCGGCAAAATAGTAAAGGAAGAACAAATGAATTCTAAGTGAATTCCCAATGCTGGAGACAGCAAAGTCTGACTATCTGGTTTAAAAAAACTCTTTTCTTCTTTAAATGTAGAATGTTACCTGAAAAAAAATTTCATTGAAAAAAATGTTTAATAGTTGTTTTATTGTACCAACAGCTACCTCTGCTGGCCCCATTCCTCATATGCATTTAATGTTTTGATGATTTTTTTTTCTTGTAACACATGTACAGAAGATCTAACGCACTTCTCAGTGCATTAAATATTACATCACAGTTCAACACCCAGCTTTTTACTGGGAACTCTAATAATTGACAGGTTATTTATTCTGCGCTTCAGAAACAAAGCTCCTGTAAATTTATCTTCAATCAACTTTCCCTTGTTTGTAAGCCCTGTTCATTTTTTTTTCAGTACAAATACAGGATTAATAAAAATTTTTAAGAAGGAAAATGCTGTGAAGTCAGTGGGGTAGGTGTAACATAGGGAGGTTCTTCTTACTTGAACATTGAAAAATACCGATTAAATTTCCTATCTGTGGTGTGCTTTCAAAGCCATTAGAAAGGGGGTCTGCCTCAGAGTGTTTGCTGTTTATTCCTGTTCTGCGTTTTGGTGTCCTCGTGTGGGTTATCCATTCCCACGGCTGTCAGCCTGCCTGCAGTTGGTGCCATTTGCAAATAGCCGCAAAGAGAAGGGAATGCCAAGGGATCCCTGCCATTTTCTGATGCATTTCCTGTGATGCACTTTGGTAGAAAGAA